TGCGTGAAATGTCATCAGTAATTCTAGATCCAGGTTGGGCCTTGGGAATATGGACTTATCAAGTCAAGTCAAAATAAACTAATGTTAAAAAATTTTATTATTATTACATCATAGATACCTTTACTGAGGGATCTAAGGGGTTTTCTTTTAATAAAAATAGGGAAACTGAAAAGGGTAAAATCTTGACTAGTATTTCTCAAATATAAAATATCATCATTGTTGTCATCATAATCATTATTTTCACTATCTTTATTATTTAAATGAATTTGCATTGTGCTAAATAATTGATATACATTGTGTTACTTAATATGCAACACTGAAGATAGGTGTCCTTAAATCCATTTTTAACTGAAAATAAGGCTGTAAGGGTTGAGGTTTATACAACTAACCAGTAGCAAAGCTGGTATAAGAACCCTAGTGTTCCTGACTCCAAAACCTTACTGCGAAATACATCCTGATATTGGGTGTTTTAACAATTAGTCTTTCGTTCACATAACTCATATCAATAAAAAATTCAGCAAAGTTTGACAGTACCAGGTGTTATGCTAAGTGCTTTTATGATTCTATAGCACATTCCTATTCCTCACTAGCCATATGCAAGAGGCAAAAAATAAAGTCTTAGTGCCAGCCCTGCCCATAATGTTCAGTGAGCAAAGGTTTTCCGTGATACTCCAAATTGCCTATTACAGCTTTATTTACCACCAATACCACTGCGAGGATTTATTTAGCATCTTCATGGTCTTTGCACTCTTATCTGTCCATATAAAAGACTAATATGACAAGGTCAAACTTTCAACTTCTCTCCAGAGTAATCTATATATCATTAAGAGGGAACACATTATATCAAAGAAATATATACTTCTGATGGTGGGGATTTTAATCATTGAAAAGTATCCTTAGAAGAGCTTTTGTGTTTTTCTCCCTTTTAGAGCAGGAAAAGGATATAGAGATAGGATGGCAGGATATGTGGTAGAGAGTAGTTTGGAGGAAAGGAAATCCTCTCTTGTCATGGGCCCCTCAGTTTGTTTGTAATGACTCTACCTCTGGATCAAGAGTATTGTGGAAAAATTGCTAATGAGTATGGATTGTTGTAAGTGATAAAATAGAAAGGTATTAATCTTAGTCTTCATCTATATATCTACCTACATATATGTATGTGTGAGTTTTGTAAATTCACTGCTGTAAATATTGTGTGTGTGTTATAAATTTACCACTAAAAACATTAAGCATCAATGGGGACAGTTGTCTGTATCACTAGGTAAGATCTATCTGTTAAGGCAAAGGGCCTAGTGTGACTGGAAATGGAGTGGAGTGGTCTCTCGGCATACCAGAAGGAGAAGACTCCCATGATTTACAAAGGGTTCAAAACTGAGTCACTTTTGATAACACAACCACATTCAACTGAGTGGTTGAAGACTTCAAGTATGCCACCCAAGATTCAGCAGCTTCAAGGGCCAGTTCCACTTAGAATGCCAAGAAGAATGCCTCTGTAGTTTGCTTATCTGCATAGAGTCCAAAGGTCTGCCCTAAATCAAAAGAAACATCTTCCTTCTCAACCTGAAGAGAGCCAACTAAACGTGAGCCAGCCATCCTCATTACATTTTGTTTTCTCTCTTAGTTCCTGGTCAAAAGTAGTGGTAAAATTGAGGAGCACTAAAGACATTTTGTTTTCCCCTAGTCTTGGGATAAAATTATCTGCAGTGGAGGGAGGGTAATGTAAACTTAATAAGGGCTTTAGAATAAAACCCAAAATGTGAAAACTTTTAGCACCCTTGTATCACACCAGCTGGTTATTCTTTGTGAGACTGGCCTGAAATTAAACCAATATTTGAAGATGGAACTTCATAGCAATCTCCAGGATGAGAAAATCTGGGCTCATTCATTCATTTATTCTTTTAACAAATATTTACTGACTGACTTCTAGGAGGTAGAGAATTCCTATGTCTTCTTGTTGAACGTTAAAGCAGAAAATGAGTGGGAGCCTAACTCTGACAATCCACTGCCTGACACTGAGAAACTGGAAAATTGAGTGGAGATGGGGCTTGGTTTTTGTTTCCTCCTGATGTTTCTGGAAGCCACTCTCCCTCCTCCCAACTGAATTCCTTGATGAAGTTATAGAAGGTTCATTGTGCAATGATCATGGAATTCCTAGATCCTTGGACCTCTTGAAGAAGCAATTAGACCATGAGTCACTGTGGTTCCCAAATACTTGTAGTAAAGAGCTTGAGCTGGGATGTTACAAAGTCATTCACTCTCTGAGCTTCAGTTTCCACAGGATGCAAATGGGCATTAAAACAAAACGAAATCTACTTCACAAAGAATTAAAGTGATGACTTCCACAAGGAACCTAATCATCACGTGTGAGATGATCCAAAATCCAAAATCGCCAAGTCAGGAACTGGAACCAAGAACTGTCTGGTTCAATGTGCAAGGGATCTCAAGTGCCATATGAGAGTGTCAGACGAAATGCTTCACCACTTCAAAGGAGGGGATGATTTATTTCTCCCTGGAGCCCCTGACCAATCAGGAACCATTGGACATGCTTTGAGAAATCATGTCACGGCAGTAAAATCAGGTGGCATCTGGGCCCAGCCTGGCCTTCCTCCTAGAGTTACGCTCTAGAGAGCCCCCTTAATGTTTTTGCTGGGCGTAAAGAAAAAAACAAGTTCATGGAGAATTAAAGCCTTACTCTCCTGTTTTGATAAAGATGTCTGGCAAGAATCACCACACAGTTCCACAAACATTAGTCACTGAAGGATCTACACCAAGAACAGAAAAATCTATTGATACAAGTTTCTTGTCAGGAATAACTTGGACTGACCAATTTGTCTCTTCCACCCAATTTGGTTGCTGATTCTCAAAGATGTAAACTTTTAGAAGTATGTTTAGGCTATGGGTGGCTTTAAGTATATTGAAGAGCTCTTCCATTTTCACAAACTTGAGGCTATGATTTGTGTGCATTTCTCTATTTTATCTAATGAGAGAGACAGTGAGCTCTGAAGAGCAAGAACTGTGTTGTGCCGGCACATTTTTGATGCTCAGTAAGTGAAGAAATGAATGCCAGCAACAACCTGTGAGCAGATTTATGTGATTATGTTTGGGGAATTTTTAATGATTAAAAATGTGCTAAGAATTAAATAAAATAAAAAGAAGAAATGAAGCCACTAATTTATTATAATAAATTATTAAACATAATTTGAAGATGAAGCCAACACACCTAGAAAGACAAAGCCAGAAAAACCTGCAGGGAAATGGAGCAGAAGCCTGATCACCCAGAGACTGCCTTATCTCTGGCCTTCGTGTTAAGAAGCAATATGTTAAGAGCAATATGTTTCCTTATTGCTCAAACCAACTTTTCTAATATTTGCAGTTAAAAGCATCATAACTGATTCAATATCAGTGCATTTACTTCCACTGAAGTATGTTTTTTCCAACAACCAGAAATGCATTTTTCTCCTCCTCCAGACAATCCTTCCCCTGTCGGAAGACCTAGGAAGTCAAATGAGTTATCAGAAAGTTCTCTCAATCTCTCTCTTATCTCTCTCTCTCTCTTTCTTTCTCTCTCTTTTTCTCCTCCCTGAGGGTGGAGTCCTTTAAAAGGGAATGGGATGGTTATGGAATAGTTTTCCAGAGGATATTAACTAAGTCTTTAGAAATCCTGTTGAAATATTGCTATGCAGAAACAGCGTGCCTCTTTCTCATCACTGGGAAATTCACTGCCCTCCAGAGCAAGACCTTTTTTTTCCTCTTGGGCAGTGGTAGAGACTTTCTGTCCTCGTCTTCTTCTTTGCTTCTGTTTGTATAAACCATCACTGTCCAAAAGAATTATAACGTGAGCCTCTAATGCCAGCAGGGAAATTTGCTAGTAGCCATATTTTAAAAAATAAGAACAGGTGAAATTAAATTTAATGATGTATTTTATTTACTCCAAACATCTAAAATATCCCTTCAACATGTAGTCAATATAAAGTTATTAATGAGTTATTTTACATTCTTATGTTTATTATATCTAAGCCTTCAAAATTCTGTATGCATTTTACACTTACAGCACTTCTCAATTTGGACTGGCCACATTTCAAGTGTCCAATAGACAGTGCAGCTGTAGTGGAACACAGATCTCCTTTACTTCTGTTACAGCCTAAAACAAATAGATACATAACATTCAATTAGGTAACTGCATTAACTTGTTATTGAATAATTAAACTAGTGTCATCCATCTCTTTATCTGGTCTATTTCAGTCTTATATATGTCACAGTTTCTAATATTGAGGTGCAAGCCAGTCTTCTTGATAGGTATAGGGGAGGCTATTTCTCTTTATGCAAGGATTTCCTTATTATTCTTTACTGATTGTCATTTTTACAGTTATTAGGTGGAAATGTTATAATTTATCCTAGGAATTTCTACTTTTAAACTATATATTGCCCAAAAGTAAACATGCATAAAGTATCTGTTTATTCCTAAGCAGAATAAGTAATGCAGCCAACAAATACTCAGACCAAGAGCAAAACTTTGCTAGTTGGCCTTTTGGTTAAAAAGTACTTTTATCTGATTAGTTGAATTCTAAGTATCTGGAGAAATAGATTAATTGAGAGTACGAGAGACAGTGTACCATGATGGAAAGAGTATGAGTGTCAGAGTAAAACAAACTTGACTCTATTGCCTACTAGCTATGTAACATTGGATATATTTCTTAATTTCTCTGTTCTTCAGTTTTCTCACTTATGGAATAAGAATGACAACATACCATGACTAAGACTGGTTGTTTTACCCCAATATCCATTCTTCCCTTCTTTATTAGAAAAACCCACCAAAAGTTGCCTAGATACCAGGATGTCCAAAATAAAGTCCATATTTCCAGCCTCCCTTGCAGCTAGGTGTGTTTATGTGATTAACTTCTGACCAAAGGGATAAAAATAGAAGTAATATCTGCAACTTCTAGAAACTGTCCTTAAAAGAAGAAGAACGATGCCCTTTTCCCTCCTTTTTTCCCTTCCTGCAGGCTGGAATTCAGACATGATGAGTGGAGTTGGAAAAGTCATCTTGAACAATGAGATACAAGCTATGTATTGAGGATAGCAGAGCAAGAGCTAGAGCCTGAGTCTCTTACAATCATGGAATAACCACAATGCTCTACATCATTTGCCCAGGCTTTTAGAGAAGAAAGAAATTGCATTTCTCTTTTGTTTGAGCTATTGTTTTTATTTATTTTCTGTAACTTGTTGTTGAATCTAATACATGCCAGATCAGTCGGGTTGTTTTGAGGATTAAATGGGATAGCATATGTCAAGTATTTTGTACAGTACCTGGCAAAGGGGAATGCAAGTATTCAATATATATGACTGCTATTATTATTAGGATAAATTGGCTTGTAAAAGAGTCACTCTAAGGGTCAAATAAAAAATACAAGTGAACATGCTTTTTAATCTGCAAATCTAATAATTGCTGTATAAATGCTGGTCATAATTATCATTATCATTATTAAATTGTTACAAGAAATTTGTTAACTGCCAGCAGACTCTACTTGGAGCAATCTGTTTAGGCCAATTAAAAAATAGATACAGACTTCTTTACTTTTGTTAGGTTTATTTAGCTTTAGGCAACTGTGAATGTTTATAAGCTTGTCATTATATTGATGCTTTAAAACTTAGATGAAATACTCATTTGGGTAGTATAAAGAAAATGCTTAGAAGCTGATGAGACTGTGCCATCTTTTATTCGTTTACTTTTACCTTAAAAAAATTCTACATTACAAAAATCAATGTAGTGTTTGTAGTTAAAATAAATTGCAATTATAAAGACTTGAGTAAAGTAAATGAGAAGAGTCCATCCCTTCCTTCTCTTCTCTATCTCATTCTTTAGAATTAACTGTATTAACAATTTAATCAACACTTCTTGTAAGTAAATATCTATTTTTTTGTACAATGATATAGATATACATTTTCTCTTTACAAAAAAGAATGATTTTGCAGGGAGTTCAAAATAGCAGAAAAGAAACTCTTTTTGCAACAGCTTTTGGTCTGGTTTAGATGGGCTTTCCAATTTAAAATATCTCTTGAACATCCTTCCGTGTCAGTACATATCCATCTATCTCATTTTTAAACACCTTCTAGGAAGTTACTCAAGCATTTTTACTAATTAATTGTTGTAAAATTATTTGTAAAACAAAGGAGATTGCCCTTAACATAAAACAAGAGTAGGTAGCAACTTTTTACCATTGTGACGATTAGACAATTCAGCAAAGTGCTTAGCAAAAAGTCCAGCACATAGTGAATGATTAATAAATATAAATATTAGCTATTATGATATTGATAATAATGATAATTAAAGTTGACCACCTCTCTGAGTTCGGTCTCAATAAATTGCTATTATCAGAGAAGTTTTAATCCCCTATATATATGAAACATTACTCAATATATATAATATTCCTCATCTTATGCTTTCATTTTAAAGACCCTTCTTGGGTTCTGTTGTATAGTAGAGGTGGGCGTCATGTTCTGGGAGAACTATGAGACTTAAGTTGGTCCCCTTCAGGATCCGCCCAGCCTGTGACTACCCAGCTCAGTGCCAAAACTGAACAAAAAATACAGCACGTCCATACAGTCTGCTAGTGAGAAGACATTTAGCTTCTAGGGCATTTTGGGAACCTAAATGAACCATTATTGGAAGGAGAGATGCCTGCTGGGTGGGGCTTACTGGGCCTTTGAGACCAATGGGGATCTAAATGGCCCTGATGCCTCCTGAATAGCTTCCAGGCAACTAGTGATGCAGTCTACCCTGAGGAGATGAATCACAGGGTGTATGGTTGGTAGCGAGTCCCTGGGAGGAGCCAACAGGGATGTCTGGGATCCCAGGAAGGGGGCTGGCTGATGCTAACTGGTGGCTGTGGGGCAGAGGAAGGGCTGTGACAAAAGCTGTCACCTAGAAGGGGCAAATGGTAAATCTGCATTGCTAGATGGTGGCCTTCATCTTATAAATCTGATAATTTCACCATTCCCCAAATGTCTTAAGTTTAATTATACTAGAGCCTGAAAAAGACTGGGTAAGGGAAAAAATGAAATAGTTTTCCTTTTATATACAAACATATAATTCTGCCTTCAAATAGGTTAGGTGTCCAGATAAATAATGTTAAAAAGAAATCCAAGAGTACTTCATTTCCTAAACTAGTGTTCAGGAATTTACCTGTATCTGAGGTCAGTAGTAAGAGTGGACAAATCACTGCCTAATCCTCTTCCAGAACATTTCTGATTTCTTGTGAAGCTGGAGACTTGAATGGTCAGAACTGGATCAGAAATAACACTGGACAAAGGACCATCAAATACTTTTTCACTCTGTACAAGAGATCCAAAGCTCTGAAATCCATCCCTCACTGCTCTTGAAAAGCTGTGTGCCTTGAAGAAGGGATGCCTTTCTGTAATGCATCCACCAGGAGGGGGAGTCTTCGATAATTTCCAAAGGCTCTGCTAGTGGAGGTCTTGCCTCAACTGACTTGAGAGACCTAGGTTTGGATTTAAGCGGAAGTGTCTTCCAGCACCATCATTCATGTTTACGTAAAGCCATTCTATAGACAGACTCATAGAATCATGGAATTTAGAACCAGCTAAATACCCTAGAAATTACCAATTTCAACTCATTTTACAGATGAGAGCACTGAGCCATAGAGAAGTAAAGAGCTCTGCCCAAGTTTAGATAGCTAATAATAATTTGTATTCAATGACGTTATAATATAATTTTTCATGAGTTTGTTCATAGATTCATTTTTACTAATGCCTCACTAGAATTTTTTGTACTTATTGACTGAGGTTTAAGCTATAATTTCAAGCAGACAGTTGGAACCAAAGGCAATTCTACCTGCTGTTTAGATCATAAAAAATGTTTGGTCCTCAGTATAGACTTTCACATTCTACTGTTTTACTTCTGTTCTAGGCTTTTAACTGAAAACGTTGTGGTCACTTCCTCTGAGAAGTCTTTCCTTTCCCCTCCAGAATGGGTTGGGTATCTCTCCCATGTGTCTGCCCATCACCTTGGGCTTTCTCTCTGATAACATTTGTGACATTATGTTGAGTTGTCATTTATAATTCTAGTCCCCTGTAACCTGTGAGCTCTATGAAGATGAAGCCTTACTGGGTATTTTTTTACTTCATTATATCCTCAGTACTTAAAATAGTGTCTGGAACTATAAAGGGGGCTAAGTGAGCGCTTGCAGAAGGAAAGAAGAAAAGAAGCAGAAACTGAAGGAGGCACTCATGTGGAAACTGGGATTAAATAATGCAATAAGAAAAATGTGCTAAGAAATAAGAGTTCAAGGTAGAAATAAATGTAAAGAATTAGTTACCTAACTTAGAAACTTTTAAGATAGTAAGTATGACAGAGCATAACATGAGTCAGCAGAGTTTCCTGTCTTTGCCTTTATGTGTCTATTTACATGTAGGCGTGTGCGAGGTATGTGGCAGACACTCTAAGGCAGCCCCCCATGATTCCTGTCCCCTGGGGTGCATACCTTTGTGAAATTCCCTCTCTTTGCATGTGGCCAGGACCCATGACCAACTTCTAACCGATAGAATATGGGAAAGGTAATGAGGTGTCACTCTTGTGATTGTTATGTTTATATATGACTCTGTCTTGCTAGCAGACTACTGTAGAGACTCTCCTTACTGGCTTGGTGAAGCAAGCCATGGGAAAGCCCATGTGGCAGGGAGCTGCAGGTGGCCTCTAGGAACTGGGGGCAGCTGCTACGAACTGAGGGCAAACCCCAGCTGACACCCAACAAGAAGCCAGGGCCACCAGCCCTGTAACTGCAAGGAAATGAATTCTGCCAATAACCTGAATGAACTCGGAAACAGATTCTTCCCTAGTTAAGCCTCCAGATGTGAATACAGTCCAGCTGACACCTTGCTTGCAGCCTGGTGAGACTCTAAGTAGAGGACCAACTAAGCCACGCCCAGACTCCAGACTCACAGAAACTACGGGATAATAAATGTGTATTGTTTTATGCCACTAAGTTTTGGTAATTCATTACACAGCAAAGGAAAACTAATATAAGGTAGTAGGTTATAAAGAAGCTATAAAAATAACTAGCCCCACACTGAAAGGAAGGAAAGAAGGAAGGAAGGGAGGAATATAGCCTCAGTTAAAGTTTCTGGATTTTTTTAGGCTTAATTTGGTGATTTTTTAAATTAGTATAGAAAACACTCAAAGAAATTATCTTATAAAAGTTTTAAAAATTATTTATTATCATTTTTTCTTATTGAGCTGCAATAAGAATTTTAAAAAATAGCAAACATCAAATATTTATCAGACCTGTGAGGGAATGTAAGAAATCTGACAATTCATCACTACTAGGGTTTACACAAATTTATATGGGTGAATTCTATGAACACATAGGACTGGAAAAGATCTTAAGAAGACAGGTGATCCATGTTCTTCTTCAAGCAAGGCTTTTCCTAAACCCTCCTAAACATACAATGACAATAATGATGATGACATGAGTATTATGAGCTTCCATTTATTGAGTTCCTCATATATGCCAGACAGAATAGGAAGAAACTGATTTTTATGGAGCATCTACAATTGTCCATGTACTGTACTGTAAACCTTGTATAAATCATCTTATATTGAATAACATTAAGCCTTTCATGATAAGCCACAAGCATTATTTTCCCTCATTTTACACACATATACACACCCGTGCACACAGAGAGAAAGTATTCACCCAGCAATTAAGTTGTGAAACTCTGATTCAAACCCAAATTTAACAGTGTTCACTATCTGAAATTCCCCAAAACAATCTGATTTCCAACTTTCATGCTGTACTTTAAGTCCAAGGATACTACCTAGGCAACCATCCTGATTCACCCCAAATCATTTTATATTAGAAAAAGTGAATATACTATGGAGTGAAATAAATTTAAATATTGGGAAAAGATGTGAAAAGGCAATTCACAGAAGAGAACTCCAAATGGCTAATAAATATACAGTAGAATGGTCAACCTCACTAGTAATCAGAGAAATGCAAATCAAAACAAGACATCCCTTTATACTCATCAGGTTGGTAAAAATTAGAACCTTCCATAATACCAAGTGTTGGTGAGATTTGGGAACCTATGACAAGGTTAGTGACTGTCTGGAACTGATGAGATCAGTTTGCAATATTTGGAGAAATTTAGCATGTATATACTCAAGACTTAGCACTGGGTCGGCTACCTAGTTTGTAGGAGCCAGGAGCTGGTTTCAAACTAGATCTATCATTAGGGGAATAGATAAGTAAAATGTGTTGGATGCATGTTATGGAGTAGCATACAGTGGTTAAAAGCAATTAATTAGTACATACAGCACCATTTTAAAAAGATAGCATTGAGTGAATAAAAAGTACAGCAGAGAATGAGATCTATTGTACAATACCACTTATGTAAATGAACACATTCACACACATAACCAATTTATGTGTTTTCCAAAGATATTTATATATTCTGTAACATATCAAACTCATCAAAATGGCTGCCTACAAGGGAGGGAAAAAATGGATTGTGGGGATCAGCAATGAATTGAAAGAAAAAACATAAGAAGGAAAATAAGAAAGAGCCTTGACTAGAATGATGATTGTTCATTATGAACTAAAGGGTGTGAACAGCTCATCTGTCAGCACTTGAGTTCCCCTAAGAGATGACTAAAAATGCTGTGGAATGAAACTCTATTGTTATTGGCTAAAGAGCTTATGCTGACCTGCGATATTTGAATTAAAAAATGTAAGTACCTAACTTTTTATTGAGAAGAGGAGCCACATCAGGATAATGTATTCTCCAATGCTGAGGGGAATAGAGGGAATTTTTTTCTAAAAATAAAATAGGTAATTTCTTAGATTTGTGCTTAGAGAAAACACAAGGACAAATGTTTTGGCAAGATATTAGAACTCGTGCATTAGTCTGGTCTTAATGGAAGAGAATCTATTTGACAAAATCATTCCATTTGAGCAGAGCAATCTTGTGGTAGATCATTACTCCGTGTATAAACATCCAAAAGAGCCTTTCAGCCTGGTTTGATGGCACATTCTACTCATACATTCTCCAACCAAGGGTGTGGGAGCTGCACACTGAAGTCCATGTGGACACCCAACTCAACAAGGCAGGGCAACCAATAGAATTGTTTTTTCAACCTGGTCAGTCTGATTTCACGAGGAAGAAATGACGAGGAATAACTGATATATGCCTCCTCCAAATAGCCACACACATTTGACATTGTTCAGACATGAGATTCAGAATATATTTTTAGTCTAGTGTTTTTGAACTCATTTAGGAGGTTAAAAATTATAAATGAATGAATGAATAAATAAAGTGAAAGCAAACCAAATGAACAAGACAGAATAGATAGGATACATGTCCTTGCTCTAAATACATTTGTCACCCTTGGCTAAGAACTTGAGGAAATATGTCCCACAATAAAGGTTATCATTTAGCTGAAAAAGATTTTTGCCTATTTTGAAAAGTAGCAGATAGATGTAGGAAAAAGAAAAAATATGATGAATAAGAAATTACTCTGTTTATCTATACTTTTGGGGAGTGATGAGGTGTTTAAGTGATTCATCACTTAAACTGATGACTAATTCCTTTTAGTTCACCTCCCCTTTTTTAATCTAAACACTTTCAGTAGAATCTTCTAGTTTGTACAGTGAATAGAAACTATATATCTTTAGGTAGATAGAATATCCAGGTATCCATCAAGTATTTTACTGTGTATTGACACGGTAATGTCTACAAGGGCCATTGGAATGTGAGGGCGTGGCATGTACGTGGGGGTGTACAAATAGCCCTGAACTTCCACACGTTTACAGACCCAATCTGCCTTTTATTGGTATCTTCTTTCTCAGTCCTCTGTCACTTCTTTCTGCCATGATTTTTTTCAGCTCTTCCCCCTTCCTTGGGTATCCCCATGCCTACCACAGTCACATCCTCTCCTATGGAAAAAACAATCCATGGCCTTTGTGACAACCATGCAGAGAAGTTGTTTTCTCCTTACTTCTGGATGTGTATATCCAATTCAAACACCCAAGGGAAATTCTAAACGCTTAGTGGTATGCAGAGTAGGGAATCCTTTTCTGTTCAAAATTATTTTAAATCAAACTGTCATGATTTTTATTAGGATTTTCCTGTCTACTAATAGGTAGATGTGCCCACTGCATTGATAGTTCATTTCATTCTACAAGGTATCAATCAAAAGCACCACATCGAATTTTAGTAGTACTTATTTTATTGTGCAGCTTCTGTGTTTTACCAGTGAGTTCAAAATTAGTGTCTTCTTTTCTCTCTTCAGCTAATGCCAAAATGTTAGAGGCTAACACAATCTGAATCTTATTGGTCCTAATTATAGTGACAGCCAAATTTAGCTTTGGAAGTTACAAACATCACTTCATCTGAAGACATAGGAATAAAACCTCCCAGGCTTTTTCTTCATTAGAATGCTCTACTCCAGATACATAGAGTATGCTTCATGAATGAGGCTATATCTAAACACTTAGCAGAGGAATTGTATCAAAATTACAGTGACCAGTTTTTCACTGGAAATCCTCCTAATTGAAACTATTAGCATGAAGTACCTCAACTTCAACTTGCAAATGTAAGCCTTTCGAACACCAAATACAGTGTACTATTTATAGTAGGTACTATGTAAATAGTAGAGAACCATTTTGCTTCTCTTAATCCTCAAACTAGCCTTAACTAGTAAACATTTTAATCTCATTTTTAAGAATGAAAGAAAAAGAACAATAATAACCAATTGGCCCCGCTTGGTCACTATGAAAGAAGATACATCTGACTACCCAAGCTAGTTACAGAAGCTTAGTGGTAAAACCATTTCCAAATTGGTCTGTATTCTCTCAAATTAGTCTCCTTTAAGCATCAGCCACCATCCCTCTTTGCAGAATTGCAATTGTTAGAATTGAGGAAGGGTTGGGTGGTCTGGGCTCCACATCATGTGATGCACTGCCAGTTCTATCAAATGGCCATCAGGAGAGCATGAGGACAGCTGAACGCCTACACGAGTATTTCTCAGTGCATGGGCACAGTCAGAGCATACACGGGAGAGCAACACTTATAAGGTCTAAAAAGCATTAACTGCAATATGCTGGGCTCCTACAATCACACTCTAACCCAATAATGCCTAACACTAGGATTATTGGAAGATCCTTTTTCAGGGGTTCACAGGTTATTTTCCTGAAAGAAATGAAAAATGCTAGAAAATTATCTTCTAATTCCTATCTTCATTTCTTTAATATTATTGAATAATAATGTACAGTCAACTCTGATGTCATATTGGTATAATATTTCAGTGTAAATCTAACATCTTCATTACACTCTCGAGCCACAAATATGATTATATCATAAGTCTACATAATGGATAGTCCCCAAAGAAAGGACCCTCATTCCTTAAAAAGTGACAAAGCATCTAGGCATAGTTCTGAGCAGTAACATTCAGACCAAGATCACCAATGTGTGATAGGCAACAATTTTCAATGAAGAAAACTATAGAAAATAATTGTGTCCATTCATCATTTGTGGCATAAGTAAAGTAATCCATACTTAATGCATTCTGTGATACTGTAAAAACTTTTCAATAATAGCACATTCAAAACAAGATGTATGTATATTTAACTTTTTCTTCTGATATACATCATATGTAAATTAGAACTATTATAATTGCAATTAAAAATTTAATGTAATTTTTAAGCTGATTTAAGAATGTCCAGAGGAAAGTCATTTTTAAAGCATAATGTGACAATAATTAAAACATTTACAGTTCATTAAATTCAAGAAGAACATCATCCTTACACTTTCCACCTTCAAAGGTCAACAATTAATCCACGTTATCATAATTTATTTTGTAACTGGTCTCAATTTAATACTTGTAAGATTATCTTGTCTGCAACTTCTCTTTAATATCCTAAGACTCAAAGTTCTTCCCAGGTTTCTGAGAATATTGGTATTTTCTCCCCTTTGATGTATAGGAAGAATTGCTTTTAAAAAAAATACATGTCAAAAAAATACATGTGAAATGTGAGTTGGTATTCAGTTATACACTATCTTGGTTTAAACGGGGAAAGGATGGAAGGGAAAATACTCACAAAAAGATAATTGTCAAGCAGGCTCTTCAATCAGTTCATTTTATATTTTCTTTCTTTTTTCCTCCTTAATGAACAAGAGGAAAATAAATCTTTGGCATTCCAAGAGAGTGATCCTGAAGTGTAACCTCCATCATACCATCTAGATGAACCACTGTCCAAAAACGTTCTAATAAAGGCAGAGAATAAGGTTGTTCCAAGGACCAGTTGAAAAGCCCGAGGTTCCGTCAGTGGCCAGAACTGAAGCTCATCATGATTTGGACACTGCAGCTGAAACCCCAGAGACTTAGGCACTGAGCAACAATAAAGATACTGTATAATCAACTAGGATTACGGCAAGAAAACACAAAGTGCTTTTCAGATCATAAAAGAAATGATTATCACGAGGAAAGGGAAGTGACTGTTGGATTCAAAAGGCAATCAGAGAAAAATTTTAAAAAGTAAACATAAAATATCACCCTCTAGCCCAGAAGATGTTAAAATCTCAAAGAAAAATTTCCAAAGAAAATATAATAAGCTCACAGAAGAAAAAGCATTTACGCAATCCATTTTAGGCTGTACACTTTGCTAAATGATCTGCAAAATTAGAAAAAGAAACTGATTCATTGTAGAGGTGCGTTATCTGAAGAGTACGTAGTGTCCAGAAATTTTGTTGTTTCTTTCGTCAGAATCAATGTGAGGTTTGCATTAGTAAGGATGGTGACGTTATTAAAACAAAGAAGAAGAAAAAAAAAGCTAGAGAACTGGATCAAGATGAGAAGCAAAAGGGAGTGTCAACAATGTTCATTTCCCAGTGTGGAGAGAGCTTATAGAAATAT